TTTGGCTGGGCACAGTGGCTCATGCCTGTAATCCCAACACTTTGGGAAGCCAAGGCGGTCAGATCATTTGAGGTCAGAAGTTTGAGACCACCAGACCAATATGGTGAAATCCCATCTCTACTAAAAATACAGAAATAGCCAAAAGTGGTGGCACACGCCTGTAATCTCAGCTACTCAGGCGGCTGGGGCAGAAGAATCACTTGAACTTGGGAAGCAGAGACTGCAGTGAGTCCAAGATCACACCACAGCACTCCAGTCTGGGTGAGAGAGCTAGATTATGCCTCAAAAAAAAAAAAAAAAAAAAAAAGAGAATGGTTTTAATTGGTGACATCAGACCAAAGTTTTAATTTTACTTCAAACTAAGATAACTGCCTTGTCAGGTACTTCCTAGAAAATGGATACAGCGAGTGGGCTTTTTAAATCACTTATTGGAAAAATTGGTAAGTAAATTAATGTAATACCACACAAAACCTTTCATCACAAACAAAAGCCCTACTTTGCATTAAACAATTAAATACATGAAAGTATTGAACTTAGTCACCTAAAGGAAAAAAACCTGTAATAAGGCAGGAAAATTCTAAGACAACGTAAAGACCCTAAATCAGGAGATTAATTTAAATAATAACAAACTCCAGTTTCCCACAAATAAAAAGACCCTAAATCAAATAGTTCTATTTAATTTCAAATTTCAATGGCATATATACAGTAAGGACTCAATTTTAAATAACTCCTTACTTATATACATATGCCAGGTCCTGTTATAAAAGCTTCACTTACATTTCTCATTTAACCTCCACAACAATTTTCACTTTACAGATAAGTAAATTAACTTGTCCAAGTCAGGGTAGAACAGAGATTCAAACTCAGGCTGACTCCATTACACTACATTGCTTTCCTATCAACTGTTTCCATTTCTATTCCCACTGACTGTATTAAGCATCTAGGATAAAGCAAAGGACAAAATAAAAGTCAAAAACTTGGTGACTTCTGGAATCATTTAAATATTCAACCTCTAAATATCCCTCCTTTTCAAACCTGAGAACACTTCAGTAATCAGATACAAGGCAGAACATACTTATTTGGGGCAAAGTATCACAAAGAAGCTACCAAAACAAATAAAAACTACGCTATTATATAAACCATGGTATAGCAAACCATGATCTGTGGGCTGGGCCAAATTCAGACCTTGGCCTATTTTTACACAAGCTAAGAATGGTTTTTACATTTGCTAAAGGATTGTTAAAAACAAAACAAAGGACAATTTGCCACAGTAGAGCCTAAAAATTTACTGTGTCCCTTTCAGAAAAAGTTTACTGACCCCAAATCTAAGCTTAAAGAGGTTTCCTCCCCTTTTTAAAAAAATACCTAAAGGCCTTGGGCGCAGTGGCTGGCTCGCACCTGTAATCCCAGCACTTAGAGAGGCTGAGGAGGTCACATCACGTGGTCAGGAGTTTGAGACCAGTCTGGCCGACACGGTGAAACCTGCTCTCTACTAAAATACAAAAATTAGCCAGGTGTGGTATAGTGTGCCTGTAATACCAGCTACTCAGGAGCTCAGGAGGCTGAGGCAGGAGAATTGCTTGAACCTGGGAGGCCAAGGTTGCAGTGAGCTGAGATCATGCAACTACCCTCCAGCCTGGGCAAAAGAGCAAGACTTTGTCTGGTGGGGAAGATGGGAAGAGAAAAAGCTAAATGCAGGAACTGACTTGTAAGACAAGTTATATCTAGGAGAATTAAAGGTGGAGTCCCTTGACTCCAAACCAAGCGCACGCAAGCACATGCCCCGCCCCACCCCACCCCCATTCAGAAGGGCAAAAATAAGTGGTTTCCTCTCACCAGGAGGTGGCAGTAGTTCTTCCAGAGGCAAGGTTCTGGTTTGCCCATGGGCTCAAGTTTGTTGCAGTGGCTATTAAGAAAAGCAAGTAGCTTGATCTCTCTAAAGAAGCTGACTTTCTGTGCCTGACAATCTGCACAAAAAGGAAACGGGAAAGGAAGACAAGAACTAACCACATTCTCTTCAGTAACCTATTCAATCCCAACTAGAAAAATGACACCATTTGCTAAATGCATCTGGACAAAAAGGTAAAAGGGTAGGGGGGAAGGTAACTGAAAATGATCAGCTTGCATTATTCAGGGCTGTTCTTCATATTTGCTTCTACAATTCTTAAGAAGTATTACCCTAGGCCTTCATGGAAAAACAAATTGTTGAATAAAAAAGAAAAAAAAGTTATTACCCTTCAGTTATTTGGGCAAGACAATGAATCTGTCTGCACGACTTCAAGCAAGACGACATTTTAAAGATCAGAAGTTGGGCAGGGTGCAGTGGCTCACACCTGTAATCCCAGCACTTTCGGAAGCCGAGGCAGGCGGATCACTTGAGGTCTGGAGTTTGAGAACAGCCTGGCCAACATGGCGAAACCCCATCTCTACTAAAAATAAAAAAATTAGCCGGGCATGGTGGTGGCCGCCTGTAAACCCAACTACTTGGCAGGCTGAGGCAGGAGAATCACTTGAACCTGGGAGGCAGAGGAGGTTGCAGTGAGCCGAGATCGCGTCACTGCACTCCAGCCTGGGCGAAAGAGTGCGACTCCGTCTCAAAAAAGAAAAGAAAAAAATCAGAAGTTAAAGAGGGAAAGTGGTAAATTTACAGCTTTTCCCAGGAGAGCTAAACTCAGAAGTCAAAACAGGAAATTACAAGTCAAATGAACATATGCAGAAGTCACAGGTACTGGGTGACAGCACTAGCAAGTTGGCCTGACAAGCATTGGCAAACATCCATTAACAGCGCCAGACCTCTCATTCTTTCTTATTCCAACTTTCTGCTATACTACCAAAAGCTTCATTTTTGCCCAGAAACCCTTGGACACTTAATCAAATAACATTAGTATAAAATATGCCCACATCATGAAGCTCCTTGCTTCATGATGACTCAGCAGCTGCTGCAAAACATCCAGTTGACAGTCTAGGATAGCTGACAGCAAGCAGGTCCACCAAAGTCCCAATAAGGACTAAAGAAAGTCCTTATTTTTTAAATAATAATTTTAAAAAGGAGAGTATTCTTTTGAATACACCTGAATAATTTCCTTGGGTAGTGGTAGTTTCTGCCAATATTAAATAGCACCTACAATGTTGATCAAGAAACCCCTAAATACCTTTAATTCCCAATTCAAAAGCTAAAATATGTTTTCTTTTTCAACAGCTAGAAGAAAAAAGCAAAAGTATTTTAGACAGGAGGCAATGATCAATTATCAGGATTTAAAACAAAACTAAACAGGCTGAAGTCATATCAACTGTAAGACAACGTGGATCATAGGTGTTATGCTGCTAAGGCATCATCCCCCCAAAATTAGATTTGTATTTTATCTAAGTACATTTAAAAATAAGCCGTGATTAACTTCAGACATCTGGCAAATATTAATTCCTTTCTAACTTCTATCCAAACCATCCAACGATCTGTATTTAAAACATGTCATTTTTCTCTATGTCAAACAAGAAAATCTAAGCGCTCAAAGACCTTCATAAGAGAAAAGAAAGCATGCAAGTCTACCTTTCATTCTACAGAACGATTGGTCAAATGGCCAGGCTTGTGAACTGAGTTATAATCTTAAATCTGCTTGCAAATATCCCTGTGCTTCACGAATTTGAAAACCAAGCATTTTATGTACATATCTGGGGGAAAACTGGTGGGAATAATAACAATGCCAAACCTTCTAACCATCAGTAGAGAAGGACTTAAAATACCTGAACCACAATTTGTACTACTCGAACATTTCCCTCAAAATAAAGAAAAAAAACTAAATTTTAAAAATCCCTCAAATCTTTACTTTTAAAAATCTGTTGATAATGACACAATTTAACAACATCAAACATGTGAAAGTGTGCAATCTTCATTAGCATCCAGAATAAACTAATCTAGGAAGTCTACCTTTAACAGTAGGCAACAAGTTATCAGATCCTTTTGCTACATTTTTGTTTTTTAACAAATTTAAGACACACACTTCCCACCTTATGTCATTGATAAGTTTTTTAAGTGGCTTTATTAAAGTAAGTGTTGTAACATTTCCTTAATCCTTCTAACAAGCAGTATTTTAAAAATGGAATTTTCTCAGAATCAACGATCCCATTTACAATTAGGATTATCTTTTTTTTACATTTTAAACATCCAAAAGTGCACACAGTGGCCCAACTATAAGATCATCAACATTCCTGGAGTGTCGAAAATAACTAAACTTCTAAAATACGCCCCATAATATTAACATATTTTGTGTATGAGATCAGAGCTGGAGTCCCGATCAACTGTGGAGAATGGCCAATTCCAGCCTCCAAAATAAGAGGGGGGGAGTCGCGCAGCAGAGAAAAGACGTAAGGGTGGAGAGGGACTTTCAAAATGCCCCAGTGCCATGGTTGACTATAACCTGGTTAGGAAAATATAAGCCCATGTTCTCAAAACGAGGGAGACGGGCAGGGGAAACCGAGAATTAATCCAGAGGCTGAGATTAAGTTATTCCACTTTAACAGCGCCCCCAACAACTCCCCGTCCGCCCCAGAGTTAAGATTCTTCGGGGCTACCCCGCTCCCCACACACACTGAAGAAGAGACACTAGAAAACAGTAAGCATAAGGGCCGTCAATCACATCTTTTCCTTTCTCCCTCGAAAGGACGTAATACCCTCGAACTCCCAATCCCCGCCAAAAAAGAAAGAAACGCGCGCACCCTAGGCCTACAATTTCTTTTCCCGCCCAGAGCCTGCCTGGGAAAGCCCCTGGCCCAGAGGGTTGGGGGAAAGGCGGCCCAAACCACACGTGTGCGCTGCAAGGCTGGGCCTGTTTCAGCCCACTTCCCGTCACCACCCCCAATGGCTTGAACTCCCCCGGAGCCTCACTCGGGCCTTTCCTCAGGCCCTCCTGTCTGCTCCACGTGGGGCGCCGGGGCCTCGAACCGCCTGTCCCCTCCTGCCGAGTTCCCTACCCGCCAGACCACCACGTCGTCGGGTCCCATACCTGGTGCTGTTGTCGACCCTGCTGGTAAGGCTTAATTGGCCCCTGATGGCAACGCCGCGTCCGGATCTTGCCGCCACCGCCCCCTCCGACTCCTCCGGCTCCTGAGGCCATGGCGGAGCCTCCGCCGCTTCCCGCTCCGGGGCGGGTAAGGGGGCGGGAGAGGCAGAGGCGGAGGCCTTAGAGCGCCCCCCCGCCCGGCCCCGGCCCAAAAGTCCGCCCGCGCTGTCCACACAGTGGGCACAGGCACCCCAGGAACCGCGAGGTTGAGAGCAGGAGCGGAGACAGAGGGTGAGTGCTGGCAGCCGGGAAGGGGGTGGCGGCCGCAGAGGCCAAGGAGCTGGCTCCGGTCCGGCCGCCTCTGCGGACCCCCGCCTCTGTGTATGTCACGGTCTCTATGGAGATCTTCCGCAGAGGACAGCGCGAACAGCTCCCGGCGCTGCTGAGGCCTAACTCGACCGCCGGCTGGTGGGGGTTCTTCCGTCGCCCTAGCCGTAGCTGCCGCAGTTGAAGCCGCTGGCGCCGCCCGCCTACCCCTCCCCTGTGCGCACAGCGCCCGCCCCGCCGTCGTCGTCGTCGTCTCTGCAGCCGCCGCCGCCGTTGCGCCTATTACCGCTGCTAAGGCGACTGCTGCGGTCGCGAGCCAGAATGTCGTCACTCACCAGTGCCCGACGCATTTACATCATCACGCTGCGACGAGCTGATAGGCAAAGAGCAAGGACTGGTCGAGCCCACGCTCTCGGCCGCGCGGCACGCTGGGAAACGTAGTTCAACGACTGAACGCGGCTTCTCGGAAAGGAAGAGGGAGCAGGGAGAAAGTCTCCAGAGCGCCGCAGAGGCACAAAGCCAAGGGGTCCTTTTGCTGTTCTTGGCTGTAAATTAGACTCTGAAAAGGCACTTAACATAAAAACAGTTACCTCTTGCTACTCTCTTCCCTGTCGATTGGTTAAGTGGGCAGGAAGTAAGCAGATAGTAAAATCAGAGACAAGAGCTAATAATTTAAGAAAGGGGGAAAAAAAATCTATGGTTGAAAAACAATGTCCATGATCCTTAGAATTAGAAAATATACACGGCTTCATTAATGTTTTTTTAAACATAAAGGCTTTGTTGCCAGACACACAGGGCTGAAATTCTGGTTCCTCCACTCTACCTATTTGACCTTGGATGAATCAAAACCGTTTGAGCCTTAGCTTCCTCCTCCATAAAATGGGAGCTTTAAAATCCACCTTATAAAGCTGTTGTGAGGAGCAGATATAATTATCTATGGAGAGCACGTATATTTGTAAATAGACGAGAAATGCAATGAATTATTACAATTATAACCTTTGCAGTCAGCTCACATTAGGAGTAAGTGATATATTCTTAGTAATAAAAGTATACCATATTTGCTCCAAATAGAAGGCATTATATTTAGGAAACCGAGTAAGTGGGCTAGACTCAAAGACTGAATCCACAAAATGTATGTTCTAGGAGTTGACGATTAGAAAGGCCCCGGTGATCACATAATCCAACCCTCTCATTCAACCAACAAAAGGTCCAGAAAAATTTAGGTGGCACAATCAATGACATTGAGATGGGTAATCAAAACCAGGACTATGACCCAACTTTTCTGTAAGAGTTAAAGACAAATAGCCAAATGATTAGGGAAGAAAAAATCTGTTGTGAAAAATTTTAGCTGTACTATAAATCTTTTTTTTTTTTTTTTTTTTTTTTTGAGAGAGAGAGAGAGAGTCTTGCTCTGTAGCCCAGGCTGGAGTGCATTAGTGCTATCTCGGCTCACTGCAACTTCCACCTCCAGGTTCAAGCGATTCTCCTGCCTTGGCTTCCCAAGTAGCTGGGACTGCAGGCATGCCCAGCTAATTTTTGTATTTTTTAGCAGAGACGGGGTTTCACTATATGTTGTCCAGACTGGTCTCAAATTCCTGACTTCAAGTTATCCGCCTGCCTCAGCCTCCCACAGTAGTGCTGGGATTACAGGCTTAAGCCACCGCCCCCGGCCTCCTCCCGCCCCGCCCGGAGACAGCCTTGCTCTGTCACCCAGGCTGGAGTGCAGTGGTGGCATGATCTTGGCTCACTGCAACTTCTGCCTCCCGGGTTCAAGCGATTCTCCTGCCTCAATCTCCCAAGTAGCTGGGATGACAAGCGTGTGCCACCACGCCCAGCTAATTTTTGTATTGTTAGGAGCGATGGGGTTTCACGGTTTTAGCCAGGCTGGTCTTGAACTCCTGAACTCGTGATCCACACCCCCTTAGCCTCCAAAAGTGCTGGGGTTACAGGCATGAGCCACTGCACCCAGCCCCACAGCCAACCTTTGAAAGATCAAGACAAGTTTCCAAATCTGATTAATCTATTTTCTTTTCTGCTCTCCTGTCCTAACTTCCTGCTTCCTTCCACCACTAACTTACCACTAAACTCTCCAGGTATGCCTGCTCTTCCTCCTGCAGCCCACTTGGTCCTTCTTAAAGATAATTGTTTCTCTCAGGTGCTATCTTCCTCCTAGCTAGATATTTGACAGCCAAGTAAAGTAATGCCTGATAAGCTAACTCATCGGGAGGATCTGTACCTCAGTCTTTAATTGGGTTATGTAGAGGAGATTAAACTGCAGCCACATCCCATCTGCCTCTTTATCAGACTCAGAGTTTCCAGCACAGAACAGAGGACTGACTAGAATCAAAGCTCACTCCTTTCTTGGAGGCCATTATTTGACGTGCTAAACACCCTTCACAGCCATTTATTTATTTATTTATTTATTTAGAGACAGACGCTCACTCTGTCCCCCAGGCTGCATGCCCAGGTGCAATCTCAGCTCACTGTAACCTCCACCTCCCGGGCTCTAGCAATTCTCTGCCTCAGCCTCCCAAGTAGCTGGGATGACAGGCACCCACCACCACACAGAGCTAATTTTTGTATTTTTAGTAGAGATGGGGTTTCACCATCTTAGCCAGGCTGGTCTTGAACTCCTAACCTTGTGATCCACGCCCCCTCAGCCTCCCAAAGTACTGGGGTTACAGGCATGAGCCACCACACCTGGCCCCACAGCCAACCTTTGAAAGGAAGAGACACAGGAAAGAAGTGGGCCAAATGTAGACAGCGCTTCAGAAACAGACAATTGGTAGAACTTGGGGAGATATGGGAACACCCACATTCCTTTTACCCTTGTTCTCAATTTTTTACCCATTTCCACAATTCTTTTATTGGAAGTAAAATAGTATTTGAGGGAACTATAATACATTAATCTCACATTCATGTGATTGAGTCATTGGAAGCTGTGTCAGGCTTGAGGGCAGAAAAGGAATAAGAGGAGGAAATCTGCATTCAACCTGGACCTGGTTTTTTCAGCCAAAACAAATGGCATATTGGGAGACACTATAATTCATGATAAGCTTGTTGCTACAATAGTCCTTCCACCAAGAAACGTCTTTATTTTTTCCCCAAACAGCAAAAAGTGGCCAGGCATGGTGGCTCACACCAGTAATCCCAGCACTTTGGGAGGCTGAGGTGGGAGGATTGCTTGAGACCAGGAATTGGAGACTAGCCTGGGCAACATGGTGAGACCCCATTTTTAAAAGCACCAACAGGCCAGGAATGGTGGCTCACGCCTGTAATCCCAGCACTGTGGGAGCCCAACTCAGGTGGATAATGAGGTCAAGAGATCGAGATCATCCTGGCTAACACTGCGAAACCCCATCTCTACTAAAAATACAAAAAAGTTAGCTGGGTATGATGGCTGGTACCTGTAGTCGCCAGCACTCAGGAGGCTGAGGCAGGAGAATTGCTTGATCCCAGGAGGTGGAGGTTGCAGTGAGCCAACATTGCACGACTGCATTCCAGCCTGGGCGACAGAGTGAGACTCCATCTCAAAAAAAAAAAAAAAAAAATAGCTGGGCGTGGTGTCGGGCGCCTGTAGTCTCAGCTACTCAGGAGGCTGAGGCAGGAGAATCGCTTGAACCATGGAGGCAGAGGTTGCAGTGAGTTGAGATTGGGCCACTGCACTCCAGCCTGGGCCACAGAGTGAGACTCCATCTCAAAAAAATAAAAACAAAAAATATATATATATATATTTTTTCAACCAGCTGCCAATTATAAATCAGCAAATAGGCTGCTGACCCATCTCTATTAGAGATAGAGTATCCACTAATTAAAAATGAAATACAATTTAGTCTAAGCCCAACCCAGATTGAAAAAGAGCCATCATTCATTCTTCAGAAGGTAATAATACAATTCTGGCCAAAGGAACATTTAAAGATGACAAGTACAAGAAGTTGGAAAGTTTTATGTAGTTATTTCATCCTACCAAAACAAAATGAGGTAACTGCTATGATGTCTATTAAAACAAATGATCACAGTCATGCACGGCATGACAATGTTTCAGTCAGCTACAGACCCAATATACAATGGTGGTCCCCATAAGATTATAATAGAGCTGAAAAATTCCTTTTGCCTAGTGATACTGTCGCTGTCCTAAGGTCTTATTGCAACACAGGACTCATGTGTTTGCAGTTATGCTGGTATAAACAAACCTACGGTGTTGCCATTGGTGTAAAAGGAGAGCAGTACAATTATGTGCAGTACAGAATACTTCAAAATACGTGGCTGTTACTGGTTTATGTATTTACTATACCTTCTTCTTTTTTTAAAACAGGCACTCCTTCCAACTCTTGTTGACACTATATTATTTTAAAGTGTATTCCTGGCCAGGCATGTGGCTCACACCTATAATCCCAACACTTTGGGAGGCCAAGGCAGGAGGATCATTTGAGCCCAGAAGTTTGAAACCAGCCTGGGCAACATAATGAGACCCCTTCTCTACAAATAAGTTAAAATATTAGTTGGGCAAAAAAAAGAAAAAAACATTAGTTGGACATAGTGGTGTGCACCTGTAGTCCCAGCTACTAGGAAGGCTGAGGCAGGAGGAACGCTTGAACCCAGGAGTCTAAAGCTGCAGTGAGCTGTGTATGAGCTTACCACTGCTGTCCAGCCTAGGTAACAGAGACCCTATCCCTTTTTTTTTTTTTTTTTTTTTTTGGGACAAGAGTCTCGCTCTGTTGCCCAGCCTAGAGTGCAGTAGTACTATCTCAGCTCACACTGCAACCTCCACCTCCCGGGTTCAAGCAATTCTCTGTTTCAGCCTCCTGAGTAGCTGGGATTACAGGCATCTGCTACCATGCCCTGCTAATTTTTTTTATTTTTAGTAGAGATGGGGTTTCACCATCTTGGCCAGGCTAGTCTCGAACTCCTGACCTCGTGATCCACACCCCCCCCCACCCCAACCGCCGCCCCAGCCTCCCAATGTGCTGGGATTACAGGCATCAGCCACCACGCCTGACGAGACCTCATCTTTAAAAAAAATAAAATTAAAATAAAGAAAAGGAAGCTATTGGGTTTATTTATTTATTATTATTATTACTTGCCTGTTTGCTTGTATTATAGGAAAAGAAGGGGCACACAATTGGAAGATATTTAAAGATGTAAATCATTAGACTCTCATTAACTATGTTCTCTCACTATTGGGAATAAAGTAATACTTAAGACTAAATGAATTAACTAATACAAGAAAATTTTGATTAACTACATATATCACTTGATTCCAACAGGGCCATATATTTCCTCTTCCTGACTACATGTATCAGTGTATACTAGTCTTTGGTATATGTGTGTTTATGTACATTACATTATAGTTTAAGGCATATATATATATATATATATATAATTTTTTTTCTTTGAGAAGGAGATCCGCTCTTCTTGCCCAGGATTGAGTACAATGGCTCAATCTCTGCTCAACGCAACCTCCGCCTTCCGGGTTCAAGCTGTTCTGCCTCAGCCTCCCGAGTAGCTGGGATTACAGGCATGTGCCACCACACCTGGCTAATTTTGTATTTTTAGTAGAGATGGGGTTTCTCCCGGTTGGTGAGGCTGGTCTTGAACTCCAGATCTCAGGTGATCCACCCACCTCGTGATTATAGGCATGAGCCACCACGCCCAGCCAAGGCATATTTTAAAATCAGTCTTGAATGGAAATTGAGTTTTATTGAATGAAATAATAACCAAATTTAGGAAGAC